CAGGCGCGCGCGACTGCTCAGTGCGCGCCCTCCCCCTCGCCACACACACACATTTTCTCCTTTCTCTGAACTGGAGCAGATCCGGGAGGGAGGCGGGCGGGGGAGCGGGAGGCGGTGCCGGCCCCTCCTGGAAGGCTTTCCGGGGCTCGCCGCCGCTGCTGCGCGCCTCCCCGGGCGCCTCCGGCCTCGCCCGCGCCAACCCAGCCTCGGGCTGCGCTGCCGGCGGGGCCGCGGGCACCACGGTCACGGCTGCCCTCGGGCGTCGGGGCTGGCGCTGGTCGCCCCGACTCGCGGTCCTTTACAGAGGCTCGGGCACCGCTGCCGCCGGGCCGGGCGTGGTGGACCAGGAATATGGCGGCCTTCGGCCCACCAGCCCAAGAGCGCGGCCGCGGAGCCCGGGGAAGTCGCCAGCCTAGAGCCGCCAGCCCGCGGGAACCGGCGCCCACGCCCCCGGGCCGCACGAGTCCCTGGCCACCGCGCCCGCGCTGAGGTCCAAGACCCCACTCGGTCCAAAAGTTATCTGGCGTCAGCTGTGACCCCAGTCAACCCCAGAAAGTAAGGGCGTCAGAAATGCGGCCAGGGACTGGGAGAAGAAATTATCGTTGCGTCGTGGAGGGGGTCAAGGAGAATATTAATCATCACAACTGTCTACAGTCACTTGAGATAGACATCTAAATCTTGAGCAGAAAAATGAAGCTGTCCGAGTTTCCCAGAACTTCCTCATTAGGCTCCAACTTTTCAGGCCACTGAGGTTGGGGTTTATTTTTTTACAAGGGGACTTCTTGTTTTTGTGAAGCAGGAGATGTTTAACAGTCAAAAAATCAAATCCATTATCTTAGACGGAGATTGAATTATATATGCCTTACGGGAAGACACAAAATAATGTGGAATAAATTAAAAGAGAGGAGAAAAAGAAAATACACAACTGAGAAAACAATGACCTAGCAAAAGCCCAGTCCAATTTTTTTGTTTCTTTTGTTTTTTTCTACTCTACCTTGAGATCATTTATTTTAAAATGTTTGAATATGTTGTTATGAGTAAAACTCAGCTGCAAACCTGGAGCTCTGGTGGCCTCCTGGTACAATTGTGGGTGGAAAAGGTTTGAACACCTCACCAGCTGAGGGTCCAGTTGCTCTAGTAGAATGTGGTGTTTCTAGTTCATTTGTATTTCAGACAATATATTTTTTTTTGCACTGTGTGAAATGTCTCTGGTGCGACCTGTGGATCCAGAAGGTAAACTAAGATCAGGGAGTGCAACAGTTGCGGGTCAGTGCACGTAAGGTGTGTGGATGGCAGCTGAGTGGCTGCCTTCCTTAAGTTGTGATTTCCCCCATACTACAGATCAGCCTGTGACCTTTCAGAAACCTTGCCAAGCCTTACAATCAAGGAACATCTACATGGATTTGAACTTTGTGTTGGGTTATTGTTAATGAGCCCTCGAGTTGCCTGTGACTCATAGCTGCCCTATGTATACAATAGCTCTGAAATCAGCTCTATCCTGAACCAGTTTCCCTGTCTCCCAACACACCTACTCCCATTTTCCCAATTATTGTGTCAATCCATCTTATCCAGGGTCTTCCTCTCCTGCACTATGCCTTCACCCTTCTGAGCATGATGTCCTTCTCCAGAGACTAGTCCCTTCTGGCTACATGTCCAAAGTATGTGAGACAGAGCTTCAAAATCCTTGCCTCCAAGGAAGGAATTAGCCTGATTTCACCTTCTCCAGGAGAAACCTTTTCGCAGTCTATGGTGTGCTTAATACCACAACTCAAAGGCATCAATTTTTTTGTAATCATCTTTGGTCATTGGACAACTCTCCAATACATAGCAAGTAATTGTGAAGACCATGGCCTGAATCAGGTGTAGTCTCCAGACTGACACCATTGCTCTTCAGCACTTTTGAGAGGTCCCTTACAGTAACTCTCCCCAGAGCAATTCATCTTTTGATTATTTGACTGCTGCTATCAACAGTGTTGATTGTGGAACCGTGTTGATTGTGAAACCAAGCAAGCTGAAATTATTGACAGCCTCAGTCTTGGGTTCATCTATCATGGTGCTGCCACATGGCTCAGTGGTGAAAATCTTTGTCTTAAGGTTGAGCTTCAATCCATACTGAACACTGCAGTCCTTCTGCAGCAATCGCTTCAGGTCTTCATCAGTTTCTGTGAGCAAGGTCTGAATAACGTAGGTTATTGATGAGTCTTCTTCCAATCCTGATGCCACATTCCTCCTCATAAAGTACATTCAAAATCTATTGTGCCACCTCTGAGTCTCCAGAATCAGTTACACTCTCTGGCACTTAAAAAGATAGGTATTTTAATAGCTAAATTGATAGGAAGATGTTTCTTCAAGAACAGAGAAGAAACCAGGAAATAAGAGCAGCACATTAATAGTCATAAGTAAATAGCAAGAAGGAAACTTGGAAAAGAATTTTCCAAGTCTGAACCCAAACATATCCCCAAACTTTTACATATGTATTGGAAAAGCAGTTACTAGACAGATGTTCATAGACTGTATCAAACAGGGGGGCGCTCTGGTGGCCTAGTGGTAAGAATTTGTGCTGCAATTCCAAACGCACTTGATTAGAATCCACCAGCTGCTCTGTGGGAGAAAGATGGGCAATCTCCTCCCATGTGATTAACTGCCCCTGAAAACCCACCAGAGGGTCAGCAATGGGTCAGTTCCAACTCAACGGCACACAGCATATCAAACAAAAATCCTTGCAGTTGATACTGAAGTTATTGACTATGTTCTATAAGCATGAACTTTAAAACATGCAACTTCACATGGATAGTATTATAATATTTTATTTCATTCAATATTCATTGCCCATTATGTATAAATAACAAAGGTAAAGGTGCAGAACAAGAGAACTCCTAAGGTAGGTGGAATATGGTCTTGCCCTCAAAAGACTTACAGTGTTAAGACAATAAATTTTAGAAGGTGTGGATGCAGGCAGGAGAGATTCCTAACAGGTTACTGGAGACCTGAGAGGGCAGCTGCATAAAGGGTTGGGGCTCTGTTTCCAACACCTCCACCCTTGATAGAGAGAGTGTAGCAAGCCAGGTGGAAGTTGGTCTTGGGTCACACGGTTACACCAAGGACAATTACAAACTTTAGAAGAGGCAGGCAGCCCTCAAGCAAGACTGCTTCATGCCTGCGCTGCAGTACAGAGAAGTGGAAGGACTTAAGAAAGGTGAGATTTCTCCCTGCACTGGACCAGAAAAGACTCCTAGCATAGTGAGCTGCCCTCCTCCGTAAAGGACTATACGGAGAGACTATATCTCAAGAGAAAAACATCAAGACATACCATAGCAAATAACAACAAAATCAAAGATAAGGAAAGAATACTAAAAGCAGTGTGAGAAGACCAGACACACTTACAAAGGAGAACCAATTAGATTAAATTCTAAGTTCTCAGCAGAAACTATGTGAACAAGAAGACTATGGGATGGCATTTACAGAAGATTGAAAGAAAACAAATGTGAGTCTAGGATCCTTTACCCAACAAATCAAAACACATCAAATATGAAGGAGAAATTAGGTCATTGGCAGAAAAGAAGTAACTTAAGGAATTTGTAAAAACAAGAATAACTCTACAAGAAATTTTAAGGAAAGTCCTTTACACAGAGATACCAAAGGTGAGTCGGTGGACAATTATAACCAGAAGTAATAGAAAAAGAAACAGCAAAAATGTCAGCAATAAAACCTGTCCTGTCAATTATTACACTAATGTGAGTGGATTAAATTGTGCCAAATGAGAGGAAAAGAGTAGCAGAATGGATTACAAAAAAATAAATCAAAGCTCATCAATATGTTGCCTACCAGTCACATGTCAAAGAAACAAGGAAAAAGATTAAAAACCAGAGTCTGAAAAACTATAGGAAGCAAATGGCACCCACAGAAATGGAGTGTCAATACTAATCTCTGATAAAATAGGCCTCAAGGTGAAAACCACCATAAAAGATAAAGAAGGGCATTGTCTAAAGATTAAAGGCAATTACAGATTCTTTGGATCCACAATCAACACTTAACACTAGAAGTCAGGAAATCAGAAGATGAATTGCATTGGGAAAATCTGCTGTCATGGATTTCTCCAGAGTGCTGAAGAGCAGTAATGTCAGTCTAGAGACAAAGGTGCGCCTAATCCAGGCCATGGTCTTCTCAATTACTTGTTATGCTTCAGAGAGTTGGACAATGACTAAGGATGACAGTGAAGAATAGATGCCTTCGAGTTGTGGTGCTGGAGAAGAGTCTTGAACATACCATGGACTGCCAAGAAATCAAATCGATCTGTCTTGGAGAGGGTGAAACCAAGTCTATCCTTGGAGGCTAGGATTTTGAAGCTTCACCTCACCTATTTTAGGCATGTGGGCAGGAGAGATTGGTCCTTGGAGAAAGACATCATGCTCATAAGGATAGATGGACAGTGCAGGAGAAGAAGACCCTGGATGAGATAGACTGACACAGTAACTAGC